ACATTTCTATGCAGTCCTATTTCAGTGCTTGGCTTTTCTCACCATAGGAAAATGCTCATTATGCTAAACTAAATCCTTAATGTGACTAGAGACTACACTCAATAAATTACATAATTCATATACTTTATCATGCAGATAATTGGTTTTTTGGAATAAGCTCTGCTTCTTTAAAAAACTGTCAAATACTTTAATTTTTCTGTGTTTCTTTCATACAGGCTTTTTTGATGTGATCCAAATTATTTCTTTCAGAAAGTTTCTTCATTTTATTACTGGAATATTCTCAATAAAATTTATTATTTTATGCCACTGTATTCTCATAATGTCCAGTGTGGTCTTGCATAAGTAAAATAACAATCCTTGTCCCAAAATAGATAGACAAATGCATAACAGGCATTTCAATAATGTTTTCATAAATTTTTTAAAGCCTGATTTAACATCTCAATTTCTTTTAGGATTAGCTGTTATCTAACAGCTGCTAAAGGGGTTCAAAACTAAGATCTGATTTCCTTACTGAGCCATCTTTTACAGCATAATATGAAAAATGTTTTTTTTCTATCTCACCAATGGCATTACACATGTGTACATTTTCATGCCCATCGTCTCCCTCAGAATTTGAAGGAGCCTGGTCCTGTAATAATTCTTGGTATGAAAGCTGTTTAAGTTTGGACAGACATATCTAGTTTCTTTTCTACTAGGTAATCCAACAGCTGTAATGATGGGTCCAAATATTCCCATGTCTTGTTTCTGAAGAAAGCCAGTAGCAAATAATTGGGAATATATGAATTAGAAAAAATACAGAAATATTTTCTCATTTCTTTGTCCTTTCATGTCACAGAAATAAGACTATGGCTCTTCCTGGCCTGCTTACTTAACTAATTTACTTAATACATTTACTATTTCAATTTATTCTTTTAAACACCACAGCTTTATGAACAAGTTTCACAGTGAAAGCATACATTTTTCAAAAATAGTTCAGATTGTTTACTTAAAATCTTCTGCGTGGTACCATCCTTGAATACAACCACCTATTTCATTTTAAGCAATGAATATATTTTGTGCAAACCCTTTTCCATAGTTTTATAATTTTTCTGAGTCCTTTACTATAATTTCTCTCATCCAGTTCTTGTAGTACAACTATTAGTAATTCTAATACCTATTAAGAATAATGCAAAGACAGATAATTTCAGTTTCAGTATCTATCTTGCTTATCATCTTGTTATTGTAGCTTTCCTTTTATATTGCCACATTTTGTTGAAGTGAATTTGTACTTATTTCTAGCTTTGTTGTTTTGTTGGTGGAGTTTTTTTTCCAGTTTTACATGGTGATTTGAATAAGAAGATAAATCATTTCTGCTATTGTTGTGCTAGTGAAAAAATTTGTACATGAAGAATTTGGCAATGTTTTTATTGCAGTATCTAACTGAAAACTTCAAATGTGAAAATTGATCCTGTAGCACAAGAATACTATACTTATTATGGCTGACTTTTGCATTAGTTGTTGAACTAAGAATTTTACTATTTACTTGAATAAAGGATTGCACCATTTGACCAAAAAAAGTTTAAAATATATCAGATTTTAGTCATTTGAAAGCCATATATTTCCCTATCATCTGTAACTTCTTTTTATAATTATTACTGTAACTATAACTTACCTATGAGCTGTAAGAACATTTTAAATGTTACAAATATCAACTAAACTCAATTTCCCACAAAGGCAAGAAAATTTGAAAATATCCATCTCCACTGATGAATCTTAGAGATCAGATTTGGTATTCTCATTATGTTTTTCTAGAAAGTCTGTGTTAACTTCCTTTGAAGCAGCTTATGGCAGTGCAGGGCTGAACCAGTGGCACCACAGCCAGGCACATGCACATTGGCTTGTATATGTGAATGTGTGCAAGAGAGATACACTCCAAGGCACAAACTCCAGTAAGTTTATAAATCATTCTTATTCTGGGCATATGAGAACAAATTTACCAGACACCTCACACTCAAGAGAGAGTACCAATGTCCCCTGGAACTTTAGCACTGTCCACTTTTCAGTTTTGGAGAAGGGAAGGGAAGGAAAGGCTATTCCTGAGGTAACAAAGTACTTTTTTACACTATTTAATATTATACACAATGTCTTTCCTAGCTACTTTCCTTCACATAAGAGAATGAAGAGGAATTTATAAGCTTTGGGACAATTGAGATCATAAGAGCAGATGCCTACTAGATAAAAAAGAAACAAGTCTGTCCTGTTCAGATGCAATATTTACCAAAGTTTCTGGGAGAGAAACCAAGATGATCAGATGATCAGTCCAATTTCTAGAATATTCATTGGTTTGTTGCCCAATTTAAAAGTGAAACTCAGCTTTAGAAATCTTCCAGCAGGTTACAGTTTCTGCTTCTCTCATTCTTCTCCTTTCATTCCCCACTTGGCTTCAATACAGAAAATATTCAATACAGAAAACCTTGTATAATCAGTGTTTACACTATTTGTGTCGTAAATGGCACAAGAAATTGAGTCAGAACAGTATAACTCCTCCAAATAAACCTTTTTCATTACTTATATATCAAAAAGACAAGTCTCTATGTCAGTGGGGCTGTAATTTGTCCAGTCAGTTCTTGCAGCAAACTTGGAAAACTGGGTATAAATTACCTTGGTATTACTCCAGTAATTTTTATAGGTGCCAGGGTGAATATTTAATGTTAAGATATGCTAGTGTAGATACTTCTCCATTTCAATAATGATTTATAATGAATGTATGTGGATAGGAATCTATTTTTTAAAAATAATAATTCGGAGGATACAATAACCTGTTTTAACTAGCAGAGTAAGAAGACCTAATGCTAACAATGTGAAAAAGAAAAAAAATTTTTCCAAAACTACACAAGTATAAAAGTATGAATTCTGCATTCTTTCATCTCAATAAATCTTTTTCCTAAATTGAATTCAAAATTCAGGATGTATTACACATGTTCAGAGAAAACACCTCTCCAAAGGCATTGGGTAATGAGGGGATTTCATCTCAATTTTCTACTGTTCACAGGTTGTTGAATATGCTGAGAAAATTACATCAAATTTGAGAAGATGTATTAGAATTTAATGGCTTCTTTTTAAAAAAAAATATTATCTAATAGACAATTTCCTTTCTAAATATTTGCACATGGACTAAATCACTGAGTACCTCCGGCCATTTTTTAGTATTCTGCTATCCACAAAGCAGTAAGTCATTGTAAGGAATAGAGCATGTATTAAATTTTTCATGGAAAATTGATAAGAAAAAGTATTTTTAGAATTCTTTTCTAGGCTAATTAATCTGCCTTGAGCAGTCTATGTATGTAAGTAGGAGGCACTTAATCATCCTTCTGAAGCAGAAAGTGCAAGTTTTGTAACATGCATCCACTTGTCAGAAGCAACCACGCACCTTTGAAACAGAGCCTTATTTTTAAAGCTGAAAAGATGGACAGCCCTGAGCTAAGTGAAATACATGAAATTGAAAATACACCCAAACATAGTTTACTTAAATAAAATTAAGCATCCAAATCTCTGCAACTCCATTCTCATTGCTTTCTACACCTCTACTATTCTGAAAACTTCCAGTATAAGGAGGGCAAACCAGAAATATTTGCTGGTTTATTAGAGAATGGAAATGCCCTTAGCTTGTTGCCTAATTTACCATGTAACAGAATTAATTTATCTTTTTGTATCTCATGATGTTGACATAGAAAAAAATAGTACACAGATGCGTTTATTAGGATTTGAAGGAAATCTCTGAAAACACCAGTGGCATCTGCCTTCAAGGTGTGGACGGATTATATTCATAAAAATTACATACGTTCAAATAAATAAAAATCACATTTCACATAAGCTTCTGAATTTAAAGTTTTACTATTTTAGCTTTCCTGAATTTCTGTACAAAATCCAATTATCACTATGGAAAGAAACACCAGCCTTATTTTCCTTCAGGTCACATAAGATGTGAGGTTGGTGATGATATACATAACTCCAAGACAACTCTTTAAGATAAGATGCAATTGGATGAATAGACACAGAAAGTGTGACTTTTAGAATGTGAAAAGCAGAAAGAAAAATTCAGGCACCATACACTTTTAAATTCAATCTCCTATATTGCAGAATGGATTTATTATTTATTAAATACTACAGGTGAAATGTCAAAAAGGTTAGAGGTTTAAAATTTTGATAAGAGACATTGAGACAAATGAACCCATGTATCTGACTTCTCATCTACATAAAATTTTCCCTGCACTACCTCTTGAAAACTTAAAATAGTAATAAAGAGTAATTATTACAAACCCAAGGGCATGGATAAATAGTGTCTGCCATCTTACACACACTAAATGCCAGAGAAGAAAGATTGAAAGTATTGACTACAACAACTGATTCTTATCCTGTCAGAACTTAGCAAATACAGAATATGATTTCTGTAGTGGTAACATTACACCTCTCCTACCCATTTTTCATTAAAAAGTGCTACAGAGAAGAATGTCAGGGATTCTGTATGCCACAATCCTTGTAGCCACCAAGTCCTGCACAATAACGAGGGAGATTTTTATCTAAACAGGTGACTTATGTTGTTTTCCTTTGGTGGCCATACCTGAAAACTCCATTGGTATGTCTTAAACTATTTAATTTCTATTTTCTTAACACTATAGGATTGTTCAGACACTAAAGAGTGATACTCAAAACATGAGCTTAGTTACAAAATTACTAATAAAGACACTGCCTGGGAATTTTCCTGAAGAAGCCTACTAATTATTTTTCTTGATTTGATTGGGTTCATACTTCTTTGGTTTTCAAAAGATTTGTATAAATATTGTTTTTCACCCTGTCATGAAACACTTCATTTTCTTTAGGCTGCATTTTCTTCTGTGATATACTAATAGGAGTCTTAAAAAGTCATGTATATCAACCAGGAGAAAAAAATATCCTTTGGGGGAAAAAGAAAACAAACATTATGATATGACTTGATGATGCAAATCAAAGAATATTTTCATCCAATTCAACTTTTACCTCTATGTTCGACCAGGGTGAGTTTCACTTACATGTGTTGCATGACAGTCTGGAAGCCTTGTGGTCATATATCCTGTGCTTAATGCTGGAGCAAGAGCAACACCAAGGGATATCATTTGCAGTACTCAGTGACATAATTTTCTTCTGCATCTTTCCCAGAAGAAAGGATAGTGCTCACTTCTCTTGTAGCTGCTTGTGTTTACCAGAAAGAGCTGCTTATTCAATTAGATTTTCACATTGTATTTTCCATATTTTCCCTGAAAGCAGGAACAGATAGGATCTATATAAGCAATCAACCATTATATTAAGTAATCATAGAAGTTAGAACATTTTTCCTTACTACAATGTAAATGATCCTGACTGAAGTTTCATTATGTATAGAGCATAAACTCCAAATGCCAACTTGCTAAGCTCCAGTGTTTCTTGCACTGTTTCCTTAAGGCAAATTCTATCCCCATGTCTTCTAAATCGACATGAGCACATAGAGCACCAGATATTTTCATTTTATTATTGTCCATTTTGACTGTCTTGATTCTAGCATGTTGTTGACCAATGCTATGCCATTCCCCAGACATGCATGGCAAATATTTCCATTTTTTGTACTGACAAAATTGTTAGGCAGTTAATTTTGTGGACAGATATTTTATTAAATAGACTTAGTTGTGAATGAATATATTTCACTGATATAATGAAATAGGATCATAATTAGAAAAAATGCAGCAGAATTTTAGGGGAGAAATGTTTATATCAAGAATGAAAGTGTGATTAATCTTTCTTCAATATATGAGATCAGTGAATGATGTGACTTTGAAAGAATAAATAGTTACTCCTTAATACAGACAACCAAACTACAGATTAGAAACTTAAGTGGCAACTCCCAAAATTTCCTTTTCAATAGTAAGGGCAAAAGTAAAAATTTAACAGAATCTCATAGAAAGCAGTCATGTTTATGTTTTACTTTCAAACAAAACTTTAATCACTACACTTGTGTATCAAGGTTACACCATGGTTTTACTAACATGAGAACATAGGACTGAGCAGTAGTTTTAAAAATATAGTGATGTAAACATCAAAAAGCACCAATAAGCTAAAGTAAATTCAGTGTATAGCAAAGTGATCAAATTTACTGTAGTGTCTAGCTGTCCTTTTTTCCTTCCTTGTCTAGTTATTGAAGAATTATGTTGGTGACATCTATCTGCACTAATGAAATGAGGCTACTAACAAACAAGTGGAATGGTCATAGTGACAGCACAATGTCTTTTTCAACAAAAAAAAATTAGCATCCTTGATGCTTTGGAGCTTACATAGATTAATTTCTTTAAGGAATAAATCTTGTGTTTCAATGTAAAATCTCCATGCTCTTCCTCACATAGAAAAGCACCGAACTAGAAAGTCTCACCTGTCTTATGAAGCTGGTTCTGGATCATTGGTTTAATTTTTTGGTTCACAAGAGCTATTCATCAAACAACACTGTAAAGAAAAACAAGATAGATAAAATATTATTAGATAACCAAGTCATCTAACTTTAAAAAACAGAATTTTCTGAAGTATAAGCACATTGATCAATTAGGCAGTTTAATGAATCTGTCATCTTGCATCAGTAACATTTTCTAAATGAAGTCATATTCAGTATAAAAGCCTTATTATTATTCAGAACACTTTTCAGCTACAGTTGTAGGATTTGATTAAATCAGTATGTGCCTAGTAGGAACAGTTGAGAAAAGCAGTGTGAAAATACATGCAATGTTCACAGTTCAAGAGGAACAAAATGCCAGGCTAAATTCCACATCTAAAATCAAAGTATATATTAAACTCTACCTTTCTGAGATGTTTCCTATATTAAGCAGTATTTTTCTCAATTATTTAAAACTGTTAATATTCAATATGCTTTAAAATGTTAAAATAATATAAATTTAGCAAAAATAATATAAATTTTTGAGATTATTGTGCATCTAGTCCTGCAGCAGTATCTCTGGCTGGTTTTACTTCCTGCATACCAAAGCATAAAAACTGATAAAAAATAAGAAGAATGAGAAATGAGAGGTCATAGAATCACAGAATGGTAGAAATTGAAACAGACCTCCAATAGTCATTTTGCCCAAACCCCCCTGCTCAAACAAACCCATTTAGAACAGGTTGCTGAAGACCATGTCCAGGCAGTTCTTTAATATCTCCAAGGACAGAGATTCCACACTTCTTTGGAGAACCTATGCAAGTGATCAGTCGCCCTCACAGTGAAAAAGTCTTTCCTGATAGTTACCTTGAGCCTTCTGTGTTTCAGCTGTGCCTTTGGTTGCTTACTGAGCACACCTGAAAAGAGCCTGACTCAATCCCTCATGCACCCTCTCTTCAGGTACTTGTACATACTGCTAGAATGCCCCAAGGTTTTCTAGGCTAAGCATTGCCTGCTCTCTCAGCCTTTCCTAATACAAGAAATGCTCTAGGCCACTCACCATTTTTGTGGACCTCTGCTGAACTCTCTCCAGTATGTCCATGTCTCTCTTGTACCAGAGACCCCAGAACTGGATGCAGTGCTCTAGTTGTGGCCTCACCAGGGCTCTAAGCAGAGGGGAAGGGTCACCTCCCACACCTTACTGGCAGCACTTCAAATGAACCATTAACATTCTTTGCCCCAGGTGCAGATTTGTGGCTCATGTTCAGCTTGGAGACTACCAGGATCTCCAAGTTCTTTCTCAAAGCTATCTCCCAGCTGCTTGCTCCTTAGCATGTATGGGTGCCTGGGGTTGTTCCTTCCCAGGTGCAGGACTGCACTTTGTTGAACTTCATGAAGTTCCTGACAGCTCATTTCCCCAGCCTGTTAAAGATCCTTCTGGATGGCAGCATGACCCTCTGGCATATTAGTTACTCCTGCCAATTTTGTATCATCTCCAGAATTTAATGCTCATTCATAATAGTAGGACAAAAAAGTCACATGAATTTAATATGAAGAAGCAACAGTTTCAATTAGCAATGTCAAAATTTGATTTTGATCTGCAGGGTTTTTTTCTTATTTACATTGAAATATGTCTTATTTATATTGAGAAAGCAGATTTTCTGGCATTTGCTAGAAAACAGACTTTCAGGAGCAGCCACTTGTAATATTAAAAGTACCCACTCCTAGGTGTAGGTCAACAGGATTGATACATATTCCCAAAAGATCAGCATACAGAACATGTATGTTCTAAGAAAAGCTTATCAATGTACTATGCTAATAAGCCTTAGAATCTCTTCCAAAATAGGTATGTATTTTTTGAATTGTTATGCAGGTGTTGCTAAGAAACTGAAGTATATTCATTTTATGTTTAGTATGCAAGATCTAAAGTTCTGCACAACACTTCCATGACTCCTCTATTTTACCATTAAATTACCTTATCCACAGGAAATTGAAATCAAACACAAAAACATGAGATAGACATTATAAATTTCAGATGACAAATCAGAATCAAATGAGCTATAAATGAGTAGAAATTCCATACATGTAGATAAGTATGTACACAAAAAAATATTTTTGTGCAGATGGAAAGACTGGGAAAAAAGGAGCTACAAAGGAGATATAAAGGAAACTGACTTGATTCAATATTGAAGAAAATATCGAATAATCAATTTTTTGTATATTCTAAGAACCCCATGAAATCCAAAAAATATTAGAACAAATTGTTTATAATGCTTCTAATGAAGAGAGGTTGCTGTGCTCTGGGGAGTTACCCACAGTAACAGTACAAGTATAAATGAGATAGATACTTATCACTTTCCTGCCCCTGCACTAGAACAAGGATTCTGCCTTAGGAAAAGGAGGTTTTTCGAAAGCAGTTCATGATGCATGATGACACTTTGGCATGGCCTGCTGATACAATGGGAAAAGCAGTGCTGCTCAGATGTACAAATAGATACCACTACACACACCATTTTACGTCATGGTTCTATAAATGCTTTACTCTGTTCCTCAGGACATATTATCTGGAGCATTATAAATTCAATAAAGTCAATTAATGTGAACTATTTCTAGGCAGACTACTCTTAAAAATCATAGATTTAAGTCTAAGTAATGTCTACTTTTCCAGATCATGTTCTCTTTTGTATCAGAGATAAATAACAGATTCTGACGCAAGAGAGAGAGAGAGCTAGTATTCTATTTTAAATTCAAGTCTAATTTAAAAATATAACCTCCAGCAACTTCACTGTCACTACAATCAATCAAAATGATAGCATTGGAACTGCAAACCACTTCCTCAGTCACATTTGCTAGTGCAATATTTATGAATTGCTTTCCTCATCATAGCAATTTAACTGGTGCTGTTATTACAGAGACAAGAACAGTCTAATACCAGTTATCATAACTAATACTATTATTTTCAAAATATTTTAATTGCTCTTGAATTATAAAACATATAGGCTATTTTTAAAGTAGAAATACCACAAAAGATTACACACACTCTCGTACATGCACATAAATATTCTGACGTGTACTTTTTTCTATCATCTGAAGGTCAGTGCTGTTTTTAAGCTAAAAAAGCTCCTCCATTCTCTTTTATTGAGAAGGAATATGTACAATGTTGACTTCCTGTTTTACGAGCTAGAACAGATGAGAAGGAAAGCACAACATATGCATTAATTCCACTGTACCACCCAGCAGTTAGAGTTACCTTCCAGGAAGGAAACAATTACCTTCAAGCCCAGTCATGAGAACCCTAAATGCTCCATGTCTGATCCTAGAAGAGGGTTTCAAAGCCCGAAGAGAGTGCACTAATGGGCCACAGGGACTGGACCCATATACATCTGGCCAGGAGGAAATACGCAGGGCTGTTACCAGACTCCTGATGTGCATGTGCCTGACAAAAGGTGTAAACTGAATCTATGACTAGAAGACATTCTGAGCTCAGAATTCACTCCTGGGATAAATGCTTGAAAGCTCAGATCTCTTGCAGAATGATTTTGAGCCTAGTCATCTTATTTCCCTCTAGTTATAATCTTGGGTTTTTATTCTGGGAGGTATTGAAAAACACCTGAAGAACAACACAGTCATTGGTCACAGCCAGCACGACTTCATGAGAGGAAAGCCCAGCTTAGCAAACTTGATTCCCTTTTACAACAAGGTAACCCATCTAGTTATCAAGAGAAGCCAGTAATAAGAGGTCATCTGTTAGGATTTCAATAAAGCTTTTGATACTGTCTCTCAGAGGATCATTCTGGACAAAAAGTCCAGCACACATCTGATAAAAACATCCTGGGGTTGGTCAGCAGCTGGCTCACAGGTCAGGTACAAATGGTTATAGTGAATGGGGTGACATCAGACTGGGGACCTGTCACTAGTGGGGTTCCACAGGGCTCCACCCTCAGCCCTGTGCTCTTCAACATCTTCATTAACCATGTAGCAGGACTGCATGGAATACTGAGCAAGTTTACAGATGATACAAAACTGGGAGGAGCTCTTAACTCCCTCAGAATCAAAGAGACCCTGCAGAGAGACCTCAACAAATCAGAGTGTTAGGCAATCACCAGCTATATGAAGTTGAAGAAGGGAAAATGATGGATTCTGCACCTGGAATGGGGTAACCCTGGATGTATGTACAGACTGGAAAATTAGATTCTGGAAAGCAGTGCCATGGAAATGAGATCATGGGGGTCCTGGCAAACATGAGCCAGCAGTGCCCTGGCAGCCAAGAGGGACAACCCTGTCCTGGGTACATCAGGCACAGCATGGCCAGCCAGGCAAGGGAGGGGATTGTCCTGCTGTGCTCTGCAGCAGCCTCACCTCGAGTGCTGTGGGCAATTTTGGGCACCACAGTGTAAGAAGGATATTAAGATATTAGAAAGAATCCAAAGGAAGGTTTTGCATACCACAAAGGTGGTGAAGGACCTTGAAGGGAATCTGTATGAGAAGTGGCAAGGGGCACTTGGTTTATTCAGCCTGAAGACAAAGAGACTGAGGGGAAACCTCACTGCAGTCTACAACTTCCACATGAGGGGAAGGGGAGCGGCAGACACTAAACTCTTCTTTATGGTGACCAGTGAGAAGACCTAAGGGAATAGCCTCCTCTGTGTAAGGGAAGGTTTAGGTTGGATACCAGAAGAAATTTCTTCACCCAAGGGGTGATTGCAACAGGCTCTCCAGGGAAGTGGTCACAGCACCAAACCTGACAGTTCAAGAAGTGTTTGAACAATACCCCTGGACAGCTGTGTGACTCCTGGGGACTGTGCTGTGCAGGGCCAGGAATTGGCCTCAAGGATCCTTGTGGTCCCTTCCCACCCAGCTTGTTCTGGAATTCTGTGATTATTTTTATTGCTTTTATCTGTCCATGAGCTATTTGCAAGTTCCATGAAAATTGCAGGAATCCCACACTATTCTTACAGCCATGATTTCTGGTGAGTACAATTTGCAATATTTGTAAGTAATTTATGAACTGAATTTATGCTGAATAAGGATTTCTCTAGAGCTGCCCACTTCATCTTCTTGTTACATTTAAACATAC